ATAAAACATAACAAAGAGGCCTTTGTGATACCCCAAATTATTGTGGTAACATGAACATGATTTATATGTAAGAACTGCCTTGATATAGGAAAAAAATAGAGCTTTATTTAAGATACTCCCTTTCTCATAGTCATTTGTGTTTTTCTATTCTTACAGCTTAGTGACTGGTGTTTTGTTTCTTGTTTATAGAGATTCTGTGAAGTAGCTAAGCTTTTCCATTTGATTCTTTGGGAAGGTTTTCGTTCTACTGACAAAAGCATTCTAGTGAAGAGACCAATAGCGTTCCAGTGGGCTGCATTGGTGATAACTACAGCCTCATGTTTCTGACTGTGTAGCAGGAAACCCAAATGTTTCTCTTTTCTCATTTCCCAGACATATTTATGTAATTTGTAGTATTTATGTAAAGCTTTACTTTTCAGCGTCTTCAGTTCAGAAACTTAACTGAGTTCTCTCTACTTAACCATAAAACAAAATCTCTAACTACTTGACAGACTTCCTCCAAAGGTTAAAAGTATGAGGAAGCATTTTTATGCCTTTAAGTATGTATATCTAAGAATAAAAGAAGTTAGTTTTTGCAAATCATTATTTTAGCACCTTGTTCCTGGCTATCTTTTGCTGCTGAGGATATTGGAATATAAATACACATGAATCTCACTCTGAGATATAAAGATAGAATTTCAAGGGAGCACAGAATGACTACAGTATTGGGTAATTGTAAGAGGAAAGACACAGATAAAGCAACTGTATGACCAAGCAGGGCTTCTCTGCCAACACTCGAAGAATGGGAAATTGACTATTTAAGAGCAAGGAAAAATATGTTTTCCATGTCTCCAAAACCTTGAGGCAGAAGACTGATATGACTTAGAGACTTAGAGAGAGCCCATTTTGTGTTGGAGGGAATAGATGGTGGCCGTCAGGCAGGGTGTTGGGTCCTAGCCATAGCTTTTAAGGCCGTGTTAGGTAGGAATTTGGATTTTACTTATTCACTGGGAAGCTGTAGGCAGGTTCCCACCAGTGAGTCGTAGATTGGATTTATGGTTTATAAAGATTGGGCAGAGGTGAGCAGCAAAGGGATTGGGAAGAAAATTAACTTGGGGAGAGATCCATATGCACCCGAGGCCACGCCCAAACAGGCCTGGTCAGCGCCACGGTGCTTACAGATCTCCCCCTACAAATTGGGGGTAAAAAGTAACTTAGTAGACAAAGGGTGGGGTTCAGATAGTGGCTGGGAGCCAGTTCCAAGTGGATTTGGGAAATAGAATCATAATTTCTTTATTGGACAAATAAGGTAAGGGAAATGCCAGGTTTCAGGAATGGAGACTTGAAGAAAACAACATTGCCATTTCTGAGGCAAGGGAGGGTAGGGTATGGAGAAACAGCTTTGGGAGAGAGCAAGAAAGGATTCAGGGGGCATTGGCTCTGAGCACAGAACAGAGACCTGAGCTGGAGATGGGGACATGGGACACGGGAAATATTTACAGCCCTGGGAAGCATGCTGTTGGCTATGGAGAAAACTGGAGAGAGAAGAAGGTGCAGAATAGAATCCCCTGGTTGGAATAATGCAGAATGGGGCTGGAGAAGCAGCTTGCAGCCCAGGAGAGGAGAGGAGAGCCAGAGTGAATGTGTGTCCTGAACCCTAGGACCAACGGGCAAAGTGGACAAGGACACCTGCACAAAGGAGAGGCGATGAGAGAGAGAGAGAGAGAGAGAGAGAGAGAGAGAGAGAGAGAGAGAAGCGTGCTAGTAGCTGAAGGGGTGTGCAGGTCTGCCTTCTGTGCAGTACACTGGCTACAGCTGGTACGCTAGGGAAGACACAGATCACTGTCTCCTAATCAGAAACAGGTGACAGCTCTGATTTCCTTATGCATCTAAGAAAACCACGTAATCAGTTGTCATCTTCCAGCCGAAGTGGAAGCCTAGGACAAGTGGTTTGCCTGTTTGAAAGATGACCCACACGCCAAGTGACATTTTTAAAATATTTTTACTAGTTCTTCGAAAACCCATCACAGTGTATTCAATCATTTTCACCCCAGCCTCTCCCAGATTTACTTGCCCCTCCCCTCCCTACCTAACGTTGATCCTCCTAAAAAAAATTATTAAATTACCGAATCCAGTTTGTGCTACCCATATGCTTAGGTGTGGGGCCGTCCCTGGAGCACGGTCAACCCACCAGGGACCACACCCTCAAAGAACACCCGATATTCCTCTTACAGTGGCTGTCAGTTGCCAGTAGCTCCTGATTCATGGGTGGGACTTGGTGCCCACCTCCTCCATTGGGGTTTTGTCTGCTTGGCTCGAGTTTGCACAGGTTCTGTGTGTGTTGTCTTAATTGCTGCTGTAAGGTCATAGGTGCAGCTGCCCCAGTGTCTGGAGAACACTCTGCTGTTGTATTTGTTCACCGATTCTGACTCGTGGGATCTTTCCACCTTCTCTTCCTCAATGATTGCCAGGCCTTGGGAGGAGGAAGTGTGATAGAGATGTCAGCATTCTGAATGCTCTCACTTGTTGCCCCTTGACCAGTCATGGGTCTCTGTGATAGTCACCACCTACTGCAGCAAGAAGCTCCAGGGATGAAGCTTTGTAGATGCACTTCATAAAGACAAGTGATATTAGGTTCCCCATTACAGCCTGTGACCTATGCAGCCATGGTGCCTGATGTGTATGTATGGTTGTCTTATTATCCAGACTTGATCCTATTGTGACGCCTGTTCACATCTTCGAGCTGGGAGGAACGATAGTTGAACTAAAAGAAGACAGAAAGAAATGGGTTTTTCCTTAGATTGGTGGTTCTCAGCCTGTGGGTCACAACCCCCACAGGGGTCATGTTTCAGATATCTCATTACAATTCATAACCGTAGCAAAATTACAGCTATGAAATGTCAATGGAATAATTTTATGGTTGGGGGTCACCACAAATGAGGAGCTTTATTAAAGGATAACAGCATTAGGAATGTTGAGAACCACTGCCTTAGATGTTGCAGCCCCTGAAGCTAGAAGGAAGGGGGGGCGGGGGTGGGTGGTGAGGCAGGTGTACTATGTTATAGTTGCTGTTAAACCACATTAGCTGGCTAGTATTTGGTCCTCAGATGAATCGACTACTGGAACTACCTTTCACCTTCCTTTAATTCATCTTCAAATCTGAATTGCACAGTGCTAACCCTACCCCACTCCCAACGCGCGCGCACACACACACACACACACACACACACACACAATTCCTTTGCACTCGTACCAGATTCCAGAGTAAGCAGACCAAGGAAAGGCAATATTTGCTTTCGGGCTGTGTTTGAAAAGCTAAAGTGTAATGGTGGACAGCTCACAGTCTTGTTCTGGGTTTGATATTTACCTTGCTTAGGGTGGCTCAGCACATGCCAAGTTGATATGTCTTTTATTCAGCAGAAGAAATAGCCGGTGACTAAAGGTGGGACCGTACATGAAGAGTGTGGATAAAGCACTGATGGCGTTTGTGACGTGCCTTTACTTGAAATGGCTTAATTACTGAATGATGGGTGTTCTGTGGAGTCATAGTTGTACAATCGCATATGGTATCCGTGCATATGCCATTTACTTAAGGTCTTACACTAGCCCTTGGCTCTGAATATTTTTTAATCAGGTAATTAGAACTGTGAAAGGGAATGGTAAAAGATGTATTATCTGTGGGATATTTACCATCCCTATGCAAAGCACTTAAAAGTCAAGTCTGCTTGGCATAGCATCTCTCCTACTACACACAGAAAGAATGGGTTTTATTAAAGACACGGAGCATTTCTGCGAGCGAGAGGCAAAAGTGACTGAGGAATTATTATTTGGGTTTGAACATGTTCAGCCTTCTCATATGGCCCCCGTGGAAACTGAGGCACAAAATGCTGGTCTGCTTTAGCACTCTGTTAGAAGGTGGTAGTTTTGGGTGGTATTTTTAGGGTGGGGCAGCCTATTACTCAGGAAGGTCTTTGCTTGAATTTCTTGTGAGATGTGAGACTGAGGTATCCTTCAGTGTTCACAGGCAGGAGGGAGCCAGGAAAGATGTGGGAGGGAGGGGAGATACAAGCTGCCCTTCAATCACAGGACAGATGCTGACGGTGTGACGCTTGCTGCATTTGTATATTTCAGTTCAAAAGGAAATAGCAGAACTGGGTGAAAACCAGTAAGAAAGACATTTGCTATTGCTAGAAAAATCCGTAGATTTGGGGGTGGGAGAGTCCTTGGTGCAGAGTTGAGAAGCCTGTGGGATATCTAATCTTGAAAGTCATCCTTCACAGGTCTTAGAATATACATACTCAGCAAACACATACTCCTCATCCGCTACCCTAATTAGCAATGATTTTAAAATTTCACTTGTGGCCACCATCTATTATGAAGAAACCCTGTTGATTATGACAGATTAATCTCTAGTGTGTGTTTGTCCCACTTAGGGTTTTAATTGCTATGAAACACCATGACCAAAAGCAGGTTGGGGGTGAAAGGGTTTCTTTGGCTTACATTTCCACATCACTGTTCATCACTGAAGGAAGTCAGGACAGGAACTCAAACAAGGCAGGAACCTGGAGGCAGGAGCTGGTGCACAGGGCATGGAGGGGAGCCACTTATTGGCTTGCTCCTCATGGCTTGCTCAGCCTGCTTTCTTACAGAACCCAGGACCAGCAGCCCAGGGATGGCCCCACCCACAATGGGCCATACCCTCCTCCATCAGTCACTAATTCAGAATATACCAATTCAGAATATACCCTTCAGACTTGCCTGTAGCCTAGTGTTATGAAGACATTGTCTTAAGTGAGGTTCCTACTCTCAGATGACCTCACTGTGTTACACGTCTGCTTTGAGCCACTGTGAGCACTGTGAGCACCATTCTCTACACAGCGCCTCTCTGGTGTGCAGTGTAGGACTGTGCTTGGCCGGGGCGCCCCTCTCCCTCCTCCTCCCTTTCATACTAGATCTCCTGGAAGATAATCACAGCTACTGACAGGTCCTTGCCTCTCTTTCTGCTTGCAGAACAATCAACCATGACGACCGAATCAGGATCAGACTCAGAATCCAAGCCAGACCAGGAGGCTGAGCCCCAGGAGGCAGCAGGGCCTCAGGGACAGCCAGGGGCACAGCCTGGACCAGAGCCTGCCAGCGGAAGCAGTGAGGACCCGCCAGCGCTAGAGCAGTTCCCTGCAGCTGCTGCACATAGCACCCCGGTGAAGAGGGAGGTGAGCCTGGAACATCGCTGGGGAGGGTCAGTCAGGGGACCTGGCTGAGCTGTGCTGCTTCCTCCCAGCCCTAAGTGCAACTCTGAAGGTCACCTGCTTTTGCCCTCTCACCCAAAGGGTCAGTGGTGTCACTGTTGAAGGCTTTCAGTCAGGGGCACCCCACAGCCTTGACTGGTACCTCCTGCCTTTGATTAAAGCTGTTAACACTCAGCTGAACTACTGACAGACGATTCTGCCTAGATCTGAGTTTACCATAAGGGCAGACAACAGCTGGCAGCCCCACTATGCCTCTCGCTGTTTTTCCCAGCCATTATTCTGACCCAAGCATGGTCATATACTTTCAGCGACTCTTTATTTGTGGCGGAACTCCTCCCCTGGTATACATTTGTAGGGTCATTGCTGTTCCTTATGCATGTTCGGGGATGTGGGAAGCGATTACTTCTGCCCTTTGTGAGTTGGAACACAGCAGTGGAGCTACCTATTTAGCCTATGGAGGTTTGGTTCCATCCCCACTACTATCAAGAAAATAAAGATCAATAAGTATAAATATGTAGATAAAATCAAAAGAATAAAGTACGATGATGACCAGATGAGCCAGTATAGTCTGGAAACTTCAAACCCTGGTGCTTTAGACGGCTTTCTTGTGCATGATAAAGGGATCTGGAGCCAGAGGAGCGACTGACCTCGTGTTCCAAAGGGTTTGCATAGTCAGAAATTTTAGCACATGTTGAGTGAATGGTTATAAAGTTAGCCTTGGGCAGAAAACTCCATTACAGCACGTTACGACCCTGAACACTTGTTTATGAGGCGGGGTATGTTACTGTGGTCACATGACATTTGCAAGTTCCGGTTTTTAGGTAGCATGAATGGGGCTGGACAGATTCAGAGCACTGGCTGCTCTTGCAGAACACCTGGGTTCGGTTCCCAGAATGCAAGCCGTTGCTCACACCCTCTGGAACAGTTCCAGGGGATGGTAATCCTTTTCCTGACTTCTGCAGGCACCAGGCACCCATGTACTGCATATACATCCATGAAGGCAAAGCACTCATGCACATAAATAAGTGTGTATAATAAATAAATTTAAAGAATGAAGGAAACCATGCAGTCAAGAGACTTGGCAAACCTGCGGTGTGTACTGCAGCTGTCATAACAGCTTACTGTGTTCCGTAGTAAACATTTTTATAAGCGGGAACACCACACTGTAATATGGTTTAAAAAGTGTATTATAGTAAACCCACAAGCCAATAATATAACAATTTATTATGATCAGCTATGATGTGCTATATACATAAGTGTCTCGGCTGTACTTTTGTGTGTCTGATAATACAGACCATCACAGACACCTGAGCTGTGTAGTGTTTTGAATTTCACAATGGCAACTGTATCACGAAGCAGTTGAATTATGTGTTTACACAGATTTTTCTTTATTCTTGAGAATTTCATACATATGTGCAATGAATCATTCACTTCTGGCCCCTAACTTCCCTGCCCAACTTTCCCCGAAGCCCTTCTAACCAATCCAGCCTCATGTCTTAAGAGGCCACCGTCATATATGTGGTCTGTGTGGTGTTACATGGGCCATGACTGTACTTTGTCTTCCATAGTCAAATGTTTGACACCAACAATGGATATGATACTGAATCTGCAGAGGGAAATGTGCCTGGTTGCACAGGACAGACAACTGAGTAAATCCTGTCTCACGGCAACATTGGTCTGCTTTGGAAGACTCTTTCTGGCCTTTGGTCCTCACGTTCACCTTTACAAAATGTTAACAACAACGATTCTCTCTGAAGGTCTTCTATTTGGTCATAGGATGATGATTAAAATGTGGCTGGATTTTAATTTTATGACCTTTTGGGAAGTTTCCTAGCCCCCTGGTCCTGTGGCTCTTCATTTATAACTGAGGTTTGTAGTACCTACACGTCAGAGCAATGAGGAGGATTGCGTGGAGTGGAAGATTTGTGTAAATGGAGCTCTCAATTGGTCTATATAATAAAAAGCCGGAGTCAGAGATAGAGGGAAATGCTGAGAGATCAGAGAGAAGGAGCAAGTCACAGCACACCTCACCTCCTAAGTGTCTCAGCAGAGAAGAGAGCGAGTTCCTGTTTCTCCCTGTTATATCCTGTTTCTGCCCAGCTGCATCACTTCCTGTCTGTCTGTACAGACCTCCAGGCCTCCATGGTTAGCTAGTGGCAAGCTCCATTCTCTGACCCCCAGACAGGCTTTATTTGTGCAAGAAAGAGATCACCACATATTTGCTAAAATGATTGACAGCCATGCATCACATGACTCTAATTGGCAGTTCACCTGAGACACTTGGTCTGCTTTTCCACACGTGGCTTCTAAAAGCCACGGTGGTAGATACCGGTTTCATGTGTTCCAGAAAGATCTGTCCTTGAACGATGGTTGCCTAACGACATCATTTGCAGTTGATGTTTAACTAAGCCAGAAAGTTTGTTTTCATACAGATACTTTTAGTGGTGGGCAAACAGTCTCATCTCTTGCAGTATATAGAAAAACGGTGATTCACAGCAAAATTTAAGTTAAAAGTAGCTTCAGTTGACTTTTCCAGTAACGAGACAATTTAAATATGTTGGGATCATATATAAATTATAATGTATTAATTAAGATATATCATGGCTCATAATTTCAGGATTACTGTACTTCTCCCTAAACTATGTCAAGGCCAGATTAATGATGTTTTATAGATTTCTTGCATTGACCATTTTGATGCTTTAATACAGTCAAAATAGTAGGACTGAGTTGTCAAAATGAGTTTTCTTTAGTTTATTGACTTGTTGAAGTTTACTTTCTCAATTACCTTGGCTTTTCAAATTGGCCATTCCATCATTTTTTTTATTTAGTTATTTTAACCTAAGCAGCTAACTTGGATTCCTCCTGAATCAGTATTTAGAATACATACATTGAAGTACAACCATTCACCACTTTAGGTTTGGGGTTTGTTGGGAATATATATATATATATATATATATATATATATATATATATATATGGCAAAATTATCTTATGTTATAAACTGCCTATAATTCATGGACACTTTTGGTGGAAGAAAGGACTACATTCTCAATCTTATATACTAAAACCAAGGTAGAAAATGCAGGGAAAACGGAGATCTGTATCAAAGGCCTAAAACGGATACACTAAAAATGACTCTGCTTCTAAAGTGATAGGAACTAGTAAAAGTTGAAATAACAAGCCATCTATGCTGGCTTTACTCTAGATCCCAAGCCCTTTTAGTACCTGGCTGATGGTCCGTCTGTGTGAGAAATTCTGTGCTAATTCCAGGGTCATCCTTGAATCTGTGAGACATCCTGTGTTAATTCTGAGGGTCAGCCCTGAATCTGTGAGAGACATCCTGTGTTAATTCTGAGGGTCAGCCTCGAACCTGTGAGAGACGTCCTGTGTTAAATCCGAGGGTCAGCCCTGAACATTGGTGCCTTTCTCTGTGCACTGTTGGTGTTGCGGTTTGCATGCCACCGTTGTGGTGAACAGATAGAAGAGGGGTACGGAAACGGCTGGTGTTCAGCGATGCCGGGAGCTGACTGGGGGAGAATCTCGTGTTCCGTAGGACGCTTCTCCCCAGTTGTGAGACTGGCTCAGAACGGACAGACTATAGAGATGCCGCAGACTAAAGCCCCATGCACATTTGATATGTTCTCACACCAGCTCATTACCAGGCGGAGAACAGACCCAGGGGATTATGTTGTGATGAACTTCAGCGCTGCTGACTTTAGTGAGCTGATACAGAGCAGGATCAAGTGTTTTAGGACTTGCAAGATTACTGTCAAGATTACCACTCCCGGCTCTCTAAGCCGTAACATTTGTATCTCGTAAGTGTCTGAATCCAGCGGGTCAGGGAGTGCAGATCTAGTGAACTGAGAAAACAGGGGTGGTTTTGAGACCTTCACTATCTGATGCCTCTGAAAAGTCGGGAGTGGGTTTTCTGGGTTTTCTTATTTGCCTAGTGAGGTCTTAATAGAATTGGCTAATTTTCATCTCTATGAAGTCCTGGGTCCGCTGAGAAAAGCCCCGCGTGGTACATTTACGAGTGTGGGGTTATTTAGGTGTAACCGGGCTTCATCTCCTCTCATCACAGTGGAGACGGCGCAATCCTCTAGGAAACAGGACCTCGGCCTGTCTCTGGAGCCGTGCAGTGTCTGAGCAACTCAATATCCATTTCCCGTCTGTTATGAAAGGTGCTCATTGTTGCCGTCCACAGGTCAGCGACAAGGACCGGGACTTCGCCGCTGCAGCTGCGAAACAGCTTGAGTATCAGCAATTTGAAGACGATAAACTCTCTCAGAAATCATCCAGCAGCAAACTCTCACGGTCCCCACTGAAGATCGTGAAGAGGCCTAAAAGCATGCAGTGCAAAGTGACACTTCTGGACGGGTCGGACTACGGCTGCGACGTGGACGTAAGTGCGCACTTAAAAGCAGGGAGCAGCCGCAGAGTGTGCAAGTTGACATTTCCCAGAACTCGGGAAACTCACTCAAAGTGCAGTTGTTCAACTCTCTAGCAGGAGATTAAATGACTACAATAGTATATATAAAAGCAAAAACAGATGGGCTCTCTTAGCATTTTCCATGTCAGAGACAAAGGCTTTGCAGGCTTAAAAAATGCATTTTGCTTTAATACTCAGGCTATGAGCAATACTTCAATTTTATATTTTCTATTGGCATAATTTATGGCCCAGACACCCTGTGTAAATTCTTTACATAGTAATAATTGGATAACTCAGAAACTCAAAATGATCATGTCCTTTCCTTTCTGAGTAATTAAAAAAAAAAAGACAAAAATTACTTGTGCTAGACTTTGAGTCTCCATGTAAAATATTATGCTTCTCCTTGTTGTGTCTGTGTCTTGAATTCCAGATTCATCTGCCCCACCCTCTCTTCCTCTCTCTTTTAGAAAGATTTTTATTTTTAAAATCATGTATACGTGTTTATCTGTGTGCATGGGTGCAGTTCCTAAAGAGACCAGAAGAAGGTGTCAGAATCCATGAAGCTTGGGTTTGTGAGCGCTTGTGAGCTGTAGGAATGAGTGCTGGAAATGGAACTCAGATCCTCTGGAAGATCTGTTAGCCACTGAGCCATCTCCCCAGCTCCCGTCCCTTTTCCTTCTATTTAAAACCCATTTGTCATTCTAGTTGTATTTTGTGTGATACTGTAGTTGGAATTTTCTTTGAGCCACCAACCAGCTCCTAAATAAAGACACAGAGACTTATATTAATTATGGATACTCAGCCTTAGCTTAGGCTCGTCCCACCTGCTCTTTTAACTTAATTTAACCTGTTTCTGTTCATCTACACTTTGCCTCATGGCTTTTTACCTTTCTTTCATTCTGTATGTCCTACTTTCTCATTTCATCCTGTGTTTGTCTGGCTGGCCCCAGGGTCTCTGTTTCTTTCTTTTTGAACCTTTGGCAGCACGTATCAGGTGCAGATAATTGTTTGACTAAGGGTGGGAGCCTGTGCCTGCTTTGCCTTCCGAGTGCTGGCACCACATCTAGCCTGAAGCTGTGTGTGCTACAACAGACTCTGTGAGTCCATATGTGCATCCATTCTGGTGTGTCTGGAAGACGCTGTTCTATTGGAATTAGTCATCACCTCTGGCTCTTAGAATTTCTCACCTCCTCTCCCCATAGATTCCTGAGCTCTGAGGAGACAGGTTTGATGAAGACATGCCATTTGAGATCCAGTGCTCCAAAGTCTCTCACACTCTGCACATGTCCAATTGTAGGTCTCAGTATCAGGTCCCATCTACTGCAAGAAGCTACTCTTAGGACAGCTTAGCAAGACACCAGTCCACTGGTGTAGCAGTTTATCATAATGAGTCTTTTTTTTCTATGTCCTTTTAACAGAATAATAGTTTTAGGTTTTCCCCTAGGCCTATGGCCTCTCTAGTTTCAGGTCTTAGCCACTTTAGCAGTGTCAGGTATGGGTTTGATCTCATAGAATTGGCCTTAAATCCAAGTTGAAAGTGGTTGGTTACCCCTCTAACATTTGTGCCACTATTTCATCAGTATGTGGTTCTGTGTAAGATCTGTAGGTGGGTTGATGGTCACCTTTCCTCTTCAGTAGCATTCGGAGCAGAGTGGGAAGGGGTGCAGAAGGCTCTGGTCTCCTCAGAACTGAATTTCATTAGAGAATTGGATCATGTCACTAAAGTACAGCTTTTTTTTAAATTATTTTATTTTATTTTATTAGTTCTAGTTAGGGAACAAGCTTATTT